TCAGTCAAGGTCTAGAGGAGAAAACATATGTCCGCATTTGGACCATGCAGATGAGAAGTTACATTCTATGATCAGAAATTCTGTCCAAGAGCAAGAATCGGCTATAAACGTATTAACTGTGATATCCTCTGTCAGTTTGGACTCATGAATCGAGAATTTCTTTCGTCGTTCAGATGTGAAAGAGGTTTAGTGTCTTACATTTCAGTAGATAGAAGCAACTAACATGTCTTTGTGAATGCGAACTCCAGAAGGTCACTCTCCGAGTGCAGCTGAACGATTCTGCTCGCAAAGACGAACGAGGTCCACTTCTGGTTACCTTCACCAATCAAAGCTCTGATGCGATCGCGTCCATCGAACGTCTGCAGCTCGTGAGAGATGTTAATGTCTCCGACAGAAAAACAAAACTAGATCCTAGAACAAGCTACTTCATTCACAAAACATCACGACTATAATATGCAGTGTTTTTCGCCCACAAAGGATTGCAGAAAAGGTACAGAGGCTCCGAGTGCAATCGTCTTCACAGTAGACTCCTGGCGTGTCTCGTTGGAATGAAATCTTTTGCAGCTTGTCAATTTAAACCAAGCCTAATCGGAGGAAGTTGTCGCTGCTGGATGAGTTGCAAGGATCCTGTCTGTACTCTTGATGGAGCATATGGCTCCTCTGCTAACTTTTGGTCGGATTCTCGACGTAGTTGGCGATGTATGTAGCAGTATTATTGTCATATATCTATTGCAGAGTGTAGATTTGAGGTTTATTGCAAACACAGCTGCTTGAGGTTGAACTTGCTGACACCAGCTGACTTTCCGCTTGCTCCTGATCGTTATTTTGGAGAAAAAGAAGGTTTTGTGTTTCTCCGATCGACTCATGATCGCTGTCTTGATTTTTTTTGTTTCAGAACCATATTCGCAGAAATGTCACGGAGCCAACCTCCATTCGCGAAGCGGCTCGATGACAACCTATACGCCCTAAATGAGAGAGCTGACTTTGACATGTCCATCATCTTTTTCCACGGGCCCTGTGATGATGGAGGGGACATTGGTAAGATGTATTTGCGCGATTGGGTTTCGTCAAAATGTCAAAATGCTAGCGGTGCCGAAGTTGTGTGGCCAGAGGCTTGGCTGGCGGAAGACGTGGCAGGTGCCCGGATATATTCTGCTTCTTACGATCTTAGCCTGAAGCTTACATCGAGAAACGGGAGACAAGATTACTTCCTAATAAGAGAAAACTTGCTAGCCAGCATATTCTTGCATGCAAAGGAGTACGAGATGTGGTCAAAACCCGTGGTCTTGGTGGGTCATTCTCTTGGAGGAATCGTTATCAAGGAACTTCTGCTGGAAGCTCACGACATTGCAGAGGCCGGCAGTGGCGTATACGACACACGAAAGGTCAAGGATTTCCTGGACAACATCATTCTGATTTACTACTACTCAACGCCTCATTTTGGAATGACACTTCGCGTGGGAGAAGATTTCGATGGCGCAACATGGAAAAATGCCAGAATAATGAACCCGCACTTCTCACGGCTACAGCACAAGTTCAAGCAGTTGAATAGCTCGTACAGGAAATGGCGGAAGGCTACAATTGGAGAAAGTTATGTGACTAAGTGGGTATGTTTTTTTTCCGGAATCGAGATTGTTTTTGGATGACATGGATGGCCATTTTAAATTACATGCACGTCAGATGCAAAGTTTCTCTACTGCCAGGAGTTGACTCAGAACATCGCTTTCTTCTTTCCTTCGCTATGTCTCGGTGCGTTTCTAGTGCTCCCGTCCCTATGAAACATAAGTTTTGTTTTATAGAGGCTCGTGTGCTAATCAGGGGTCCGAAAGGTTAAAAATAAAGTTGGATCGTGCAAGCATTGCTGTCTTCAATGCTGAGAACTATGAGGACCATATTCTCCGTTTACCTCGAGTCTCTGCTATTTAAATCCCGCGCAAAAGAGCAGAGGGCCATGATCGCAGTAGATTAAACATTCAGACCTTCTTGGTCGGCCCTGATCAAGTGAGTAAATGTACGTGGATCTGCAAAGTTGGTCGACGCTGGGAAGGAGGATTCATCTCTCTTGGCTCATGTATTCTCTTCGTTCGTTGCCTGTGTTTTAACTTTGAACTGGTCGCTCGATGAATGTCATTCTGTTCGTATTCTGATTACTTTCGAATTGAGAAAATGATGGTGGGCCTCTCATTGACGCACACGATTCTCCTTGGTGCAGGACCTAGTGGGAATACACGACGTGCTGGTGCCGGAAGCATCTTGGAGAGGCGGCGATTGTAACAGTTGCATGACAGCGGACGCCGACCACTTCTCAGTGTGCAAACCGACTAGCAAAACCAGCAACAGTTACATTGATCTCCTGAGCCAGATTGAGGCTTGCCAAATGCAGCTTCGAATCGCCAAGCACGTTAAGGACGCAGTCTCCAGATTGATATTCTTCAGAGAAGCCTCCTTGAATAAGTTGCCCAGTTTAGACCCGGCCTCGCTCGTAGATCTGAAGGAACGATTGAAGAACGGCCCTGTAGAATTCAAAACTCAACTTTTTGATTCACCAGGATTCCTCCAGGACCTCGTCCGCCTCTTGAGCGAAGAAGGGCGGCATAAGGCATGGGATGCCGATGGCCGGATCCGTGCCACCACGGCATATATTATATATTATCTGGCACGCGAGAAGAAATTGACGGGCGAGATCGGCCAATATCCAGGGGCGTTGGAAAGGCTGCTGAATTTGCTGCACATGAAAGTGGGAGAGGTTCTCAAGGCCACGCTGTACGCCTTGCACGTTCTCGCACGCGACGGCCCAACGGCGGCGAAGATATGTCGAAGGGAAGGAGCTCTCGACCGGTTGGTCTTCCTGATGGACAGCCAGGAGGATGTAGACGTGAGAGTCAAAGCAGCCACGACGCTGGCTTTCGCGACCGACTTGCGTAGAGAAAAGGAGAAGAGCTTTCTCGATCGCGAGAAAGCATGCAAAGTACTTGTGCGTATGCTGGAGGAGAAGCAAGTTCCGAACCTTCAATATTCCGCCGCCCATGCCTTGGCGAATGTTCCTGAGTACTACCAGCACTTAGCAAAGCAGGAACAACCTCTCAAGACCTTGGCCATATTACTGCTGGGGAACAGAAGTGCAGAGAGCGGAGAGAGCGGAGAGCAGAATGAGGGGGAGATGGTACATCGCGTCAAAGTAGCCACCATATTCGAAGGGGTTACAGCAGGTGGGGCCAATGCGTTGCTAATTGCCAAATGTCCAGGAGTTCTGGAAAATATGGTGAGAGTGTTCGAAGTGACCGAAGATAACCCTGTACAGCTGCAGCTCTCCATTGTCAAGTCATTAGACCACATAGCCAAATCACAATCCAACCTATTGATGAGAAGAGTAACTGTTATAGATTCCATAAAAGACTTGATAGGCCTAATCCAAGGGCGGGATAATAGCGAAGTCAGGTATTATGCATCTTCTGTATGCGCAGATTTACTTCGCAACGAGAAGGTGAGGGAAGAAATAGGAGGGAACAAAGAAAATTTGGATACGCTCAAGGCAGGGTTAAAATCATGTTTGGATGTGACTACTCTCGAAGAAAGGACGACGCATTTTTTAATGTATTGTAAACATAAGCTTCCAACCAGTTCGGGAGACATTCATAGGAAACCACTTCGTCGTGATCATGTAGATCGTGAGGATAATTGCTACTGCTGTCTGTATACGCTGGATATTTTTGGATGTCTATAATTTTTACTCAACAATGTAAAGTGATTTTTGAGATTCTAATCCAAACAATATCTAGTTTACAATATGAATATGATGAAATTTTTTTTAGTGAGATCATTTTTTAATATAATAAAATTATTTATTATCATCTAGTTAGGTCATAAATAATTAATTGATTGTAGTATTTTTTGGTTGTAAAACTTATGTACACATATTTTAAAAAACACAATCAAATTAAACATTATATTTATTTTTTTAACATGTTGCTAGTATGAAAATTATAATTTATAAATTCCAATAGGTAATAGAACTATTATTAATATGTATATTTTTTTAGTGAATCTATTTTAGCTAATTTAATTTATAAAAAATAGAAATTCCATGTACTCATAACATAGACTGAAAAAAATAGTTTAAAAAATAAATTTAATTATATAATTGAAAAAAGATAACTTCTATAATATATTATATCATAAATGATTTTTTTGAATATTATATCATTACATCAAACAATAAATATACAGTAATATCATATAATTTATGGAGCAAATAGTTGTACAGAGTATGTAGAATCCGAACATGGAGAAATCGCCGAGCGTTCAACTCGGCGAACCTATCGGGGTTGGGTACCAAGCCAAGTACCTCTCGTCTCCGCAGGCTGGAACCAGATCGACTCGCTTAGTTGCACAAACTGCCGTACTGCCAGGTGTCAAGGATTCCAGTTTCTTTCCTATCCAACAACAGGAAGAGTTACTGCAAGTTTTGGTATGTTAGGGGATATTATTATTGCTGAGCCAAAAGCTTATATTGCATTTGCAGGAAAAAGAGTTATTGAACAAACTTTTCGACAAAAAATACCAGATGGTTTTCAAGTTGCAGAATTATTATTTGGTCATGGTTTACTTGATTTAATTGTTCTACTCTTTCTTTCTTGATTCATGCTCCGTTCGGGCAGCTCCGAGTTTTATCTCAGTTTTGGGGACTTGAGGGTCTGCGGACCCGACTTTCCGACAACCATGTAGAGGCTGTCAACAGGATTAAATTCCGACAACCATGTAGAGGCTTCTAGAGGCCGTCACTGTAAAAGCCGCTGTTTTAGTTAAACTAAATCTAAACCGCAGGAGGGATAGCTCAGTTAGAATCCCTAATAAATTCAAATTGTAATATTTCTAATTCAAACAATGATAACATATTGTGACAAAATTTTAGGCGGCAAAGTTTAGGGTTTTGAAAATAGGGTCACATCGATATCCTCTAGCTCGTCAATGTTTTGACGTCGCTTTTGGGTGCCAGAGCTCGTGCTTGTCATTTTCTTGTCATTTCAAGTGCTTTTTGCAGGAGTGACAGCATGGAGTGAGGATGGATTGTGCACGATCCATCGTGGGATGGCCCTTCGAATTCATTAATCTTGAATTGGTCAAATGGGTATAAGTTTGTGCAGCTAAACCCGTCCCATCTAGCATTGAGTGCAACAAGGAGGGCATATCAATCATTGGTGGGCGGAAGGGACGAGGATGTACGTTACGTGGAATGCTGCTTGGGGTCCATATTTGAGCTTGGGAAGGTTTCAGAAACTCTTTCACCATGTTGTTTGGTTCTTGAAAGAATCAGGACAAGGGCGTCGGTGTGCAGCACCAACCGCTGCTTATTTTTCTTGCGGTTGTTGCTTATTGTAGGCGAGCCAAAAGTGACGATTTCACCCGCGTTTTTGATGTGCTACGTCTACGATAAGCTGTCGATGGGAGTAGCGTAGTAGGTATAGCGTATTCACATTGAAGATTTACATCATGACTGACAGCGATGTCTAATCAGACATCGTCATCATGTAAGAGAAAATATAAAAGTCATGATGTATTGTCTGGAAGTTATTTGATTTTCCGCAAGGGGTACATGCGATTGCTTCCTGGCATTGTGGTTTCATCGAGCATAGGCTCCACTCCGAACGTTGCCTGCAAGTTCCAGCGTCGGAAATGCCCTGTGGACTGCTTGTTGGCGCCGTAGTTCCCTCCGGACCAGCCCATGTGCTTTGCCAACGCGCACAGGCTCTTCCGAGTAGCGAACATATCGAGGCTTATACGAGAGAATCGGAGCTCCGTCGAGAATGTGATGAAGAGTGTCTGCTTCGAGTCTAACACTCGGGAACGAGATCTTGTCAATGGAATATATGGGACATTACGATATTTTCAGCGAGAGGCCGAGAGACTGGAGGAGAACAGAACGGCTTGGTCTGCATTCTTCGGAGTATTACAGGTCCTTCAGAGTATTACGCACATGCACTGCCTACTTAGGTCGCCTTTACAAAGACAACGTCAGCGCTGCAAGACAACGATGTTTATCATATGTTGCAGCAGCATCTACAACAGCAACAACTGCATTACATGCAGATGCCCCAGCAGCAGATGTCTTCTCTAGAGTGTTTTGTTAGAGTATTTTGTTAATTTTAATGCCGGTGGTGGAGGCTTTAATCCGGTGGAAACAACGGACGTGTCGACCTCTATCCACTTATGCACCTCATAGATAGAAGTGCAAAAGTTACTCTTCATCGGGCCTCTTCTTCGTACACTGGAACAGCAGCGAGAGACTTTCTCTCCCTCACACACAACTCTTAACTCTCGCTATTATTGACTTTTGTTGTAATTGCAGATAATACAGAATCTGCAGCTTTACATCGTTAATTTTTTTTTCTTTCTGTTTCTTTTCTCCACAGCTATAAATCTATCCAGACGCACATGCAATGTCTTCCCAGGATTTTATATTTTATGACAAACTAATAAAAAACATGGCTGATTCGCCCGACACAAGGTGTTCTCTATTACTATGAGTATTAGGGCCTCGTTTCCCTTTGTCACCTTGTGTTGGTGTGTACGATTGCAAATTCTTGGGCTGTGAGATCATAATTTCGAAGACTTCAGCTCAGTTTTGTAGGAGTTATATCCGAGTTACATATGCAGATATGCATATATATATGTCGGATATGCATGGCTTATACTACTTTAGAAAAGTATGGGTGCCTCGTTAAGAAGGGACAAGACTCAGCTGGCTTGGTTTGCATCCTCTAGTGCGCTAACTCTTCCTGTTCTATATTCTATCTCCGCTAAACCAACGAGTTTATAAACAGCAGTGTGGTGTTCGAGTTACACATTTTGACGTCTACGGGAAGTGTAAGAAGATGTCAAGAATGAGGTGAGCGTCTTCAGGGCTATCTCCAATCATGTAAACTCATAAAAATTTTGAGACATTTTGTTCAGCTCACTGTTACATTCAGTACTTGAAGCCCCAGTCACATCACGCTGTTTGTGTCCTTGAGGCGAAGCGTATGTGTGAAAAAAGAGAAAATGACAAGAAGAACTCAAGGGAACAGACACAAGTAAAGTCGGTAATTATCTGGACAGCAAATTTTTCCGAAGCAATTGCAAGCGAGGAGTCTCATATCTGCATATGCATCATACCCAAGTTCTTGCCTAAAAGTTCTTGCCTAGCATATCAAAGGCGTCACCAGTGAACCCTTGCACATGGAACGAAACTCTGAAGAAAGTGAAAATAACACTCTGCCGCAGGCACAAAATTCGACATCTTCCTGTGACATGCATTACTTGAGACCTCTTGCATCAACAAGACATGTTTTACATCTAGTTGCAGATTCTATGCAGATGGAACTTAACTCTGAACACAGGATTCTAAAAAGACATATATTACTCGAAAAAGGGTTGCATCTCTCATCTTTCTAATCTGAAAATTTTTCCTCAAGTTTCCTTTACTTTAATATCATACAAAGTCCGTGAAACCGCTGGCGAGACAAACCTGTCACTGCAAAGATTCATTTTTTCCAAAAGTGAACTTGTGATTAGGCTCTCTAAGTGGTGACAACAAATCACCTCGAGATGTGTATGTGGATGAATTCACCTTGTTACTATCTTGACGCTTACATCCAGCCAATTAATTTTTTCTGGAAGTTAAGCACAAACAGTTTCCATAATCTCCACATTGATCCTTTAAACACTGCTCTAACAACAGGGAAACTGCAGAAATGAGCATAATTTTGAAGGAAATTAGAATGAGAGCAAAATCTGATTTAGTTATATTTTCTTCCCAATTGTCGGTTTCCTAAAAGTGTTTTGGAAAGTGTGGAGGTTTAACTACTTTACAAATTCTCATGCGTGCTGCAAAAGCACTGTTTGAAAATCATCAGAGCTTAGGCTATGTGCAAGGGAACTCTATTAGAGATCATTATATCACATCTGTTGATGTGTATAATATCAAATTGGAACTGGGCAAAGAAACTTGGAGAAGGCATGCTAATGATAGAATTAGCACAAAATTATGGATAAAAGCGAATTCATCTCAAGTTGACAGGCACCAAAAAGTGATACATTTAAACCATTGAGACTTGTTGTTACAAAACCCTTGCTCCTAGATTGCTTGCTAAAACATGGAAATGGAGGTTGTGTTGGTATAGATGGAACACATGGCACGCTGAAGTATAAGGTAATATTCTGCTTGTCCATTTTGATGTTTTTATCATCAGGCTTCCATGATTATGTATATTCTACCTTACAATTTGCAATATCTGCAAGATACTTGAAAAAATGACGGGTTGGAGCTTTAACCAGTCTTGTAAGACATTATTGAACTTCTCAATGTGTGTTGTATATGTTGCTTTATATACCTTGATCACGTCTAGCTTATCAAGACATAAAAATAGCGAATCATTCATTTGTATCAGGTTTAGCTTAGTATCAATGGAGATGAATACTTTGTAGACGACTGCTAGCAGCAAACTAATACATTTATTTCATTTTTTGCAATGCAGTATCCACTGTACACCCTGATGGTGTTTGACGAATATGAACACTAACATCCTACTGTTTTTGGATTCCTCGAAAGAGAAGAAACAGAAGATCTTGTGGAATTATTATCTGCAGTGAAGAAGATGGCCCAACATTATATCCCTGGATGGATGCCCTCGTGCTTCATGACGGATTGTGCTGACAATGAGAGACTTGCCCTAGACATTGTTTTTCCACCTATCCCTGTATTTCTTTGCATATATCATGTTCGAAAAGCATGGACAAAGAAATTAATTGAGGTTGTGAGTGGTCATGAAAAGAGAGCTATTATGAATGCTACTTTAGAAGACCTGTGCTTTGGAAGCACATTGATTGCTGATGGAGAAGAATTTGATGTGAAAAGATCTGCTGCGATGAAGCTTCTGTTATTTTACAAAAAAATTCAGCTCTCTGAGCCACAATTTGTGAAGTAATTCCAAACAGAATGGAAACCTTGTATGGGTAAGTGTAAGTTTGTAACATGTGCATTATATATAAAGTTATTACATTTTGGAAGTCGTTTTTTTGCTTAATGGTCTTCCACAAGTACATCTAACTTACTGTTTTGGAATTAAGGTCAATGGAATATAGGCGATGCAGTCACATTTCCTCGTGGTGAATGAACAACCTCAGCAAACGATAATTGATATTAGCAGGAAAAAGTTTTCTTGAGCAGGATCTTAGTTCTGCACTTATCATCATCATCATAATGAACATGAGTACAATTGCTTCGTTGAACGAGCTCCCTGAAGAAATGAGGATAAACACAACTAATTCATTGCTGTATAACGTCTGCAAACTTTGACTATAAGCAACACAGTGGAGGCTGTTATAATCTGATGTTGATATTATTTTACAATGAGACAACAAGAACTTGTATTTGTCACGCCACAATTCTTGTCGTCAAGTAGACTATCGACTGGTTTCTAGTCTATCTCACATCCTGACCTCGACTTGTAACGACACAATTGAAAACTCCATGAGCTACCCTTGACCTTAGAATCTACTTTGTATGTGGCACAAGGCCTCCCCAAAGCTGATACCTGTTCAAAAACTTATAAACGCTTTAGCATACAGTTAGCATGGACTCAAGTGATGGTCCAATATAAAATAAATATTTATAAATCATTTATTACAATTTGGATCAAACTGAGCTTTTGCGCGAAGAGCGAGAGTTATACATGGATGCTGGATAAATTCATACTTTGATTAAGCTGTTGGGAAACATTTTCTAGGTGGTCTTCACAGTTTCAAACATAGGTTGAACAGTTCTGTTGTGAGTAACTATGGTCGTCGGTATGACGTCGATCAGGTTGTGAGAATAGGGGTTCCCTCATAGTTGAGTGCGGATGGATGCCCAGATGTTATTATAGTCCATCGCTAGATCGGTCCGCCGGAAAGCGGAGCGATCTAATTCAGTCACTTTGATGCTCCACCGGAAAACTAAGTGCCAATCAGGCAGCTGCCCGAACATTCTTCCATCTTTGGTCCAAAAGAGGAGAGTCGCAGCGAAAAGAATAACTTCCGTCACGACTCACTGCAGGATGACACGTGCTTGGGTCTATGAAGGCCCTATATAGGGCCTATGTATAAGTTTGTGCAGCTAAACCCGAACCAGATGTGGAGATTCGATGGCGGCACAACCGCTTTTCGCAATCCGGATGCTATAAGCTCGCCTTGTCTCCAACTTCTCCAATTGAGCCAGTTTGCGCATAAGCAATTCTCTCTCTATCTATCTTTTCATTTCGTAATCTCGCACACTAGTGCTGTAATATTCCGCTCCGGCATCCACAGCGTGCGATCGTACACTGGAAGTTTTGTGGCACAGCTTCTCAATTCCATAAGTAGATTGATCCAAGCGAAATTCCTCGCGGTGAAATTGGCACTTCTTCGTGCTCGAAATCTCGTTCCGATCTTTCTTTCTTCGCGGCCTTCATGACATTCGCTGACCAGATTGAAGAACGAGGGCCCTGCGCGTGGGATTCCTCGGCGACCACGAGGTGGCAGAATTCAGCTTGATGGCGGACTTCGAGTCCGGTCATCCGACACTCCTCGATTCCAAAGTCGCGTCGTGATTCACTTCCGATCAGCCATGGTTGTTCCAGGCATTGGCGAGCCAACCCAGCTCGAGCGCTTTCGAATTCGAAGGCATGGCGACGGATGCCACTGCCACCGTGGTGTCCAGTTTCACCATCATCCCCGACGTCTCGGAGATGAGACAGTGTTCGAGAAATTTGATGGCCCGGGGTTAGCTTCAAGGGTATAGTAGGGTGAGTGATAACTAGACTTTCTCATAATTTAATAGAAGATCATCCAATTGATGAACTACACTAACCCGAACCGAATGCTTGCGGTCTGACGGCTTACAGTCACCGTCGAGTATAATTATTATGGACACCGTTGGAGCGGAAGGACCGCTAAATCAGTCGCTAAAGAAGTTGGGAGAGGATTTGGTCTACAGACGGAGTAGCCAACACCTCTTGGCTTTCCCTCGTCTCTCTCTTCAAACCCACGCAGGAGCCAAGTGCGTGGAGTGCAACTGTCATATTCCGCAGCATGCTTTGGACAAACACTTTGGACAGATTTCGGAGCTAGCTTTGATGTTATGTTTGCTGGGAATTGTGGAGAAAATCTAGTGCGACAGCAGCGTGTAACGGGAATTTTTCTTTAAATGAGTCCGAAAGTAGAATTCATTTTGATTCGTTTCTCTGGACATATTCGAGTGATTTTTTTACCCTGGTGAGAGAGGAAGCTCCTTTTTGTTGTGTCTAGAAGTGTTCACGACTTTATTTAGTTTAATTTAGTTCCCAAAGCAATCCTCTTGAAAGAGTGTTCTTGAAAGCGTCACGATCATGTTCGGATTTTGAAACCTACAAGAACGTTCACTCCGTCATAGCTCACAATCATGTCCGCAATGAGCTTGGCTTTCTTTGTGGAGGATTTCTGAGCGTTCAGAATTTCTTCGAGA